GTGGCACTGAGATCCTAGATGCTTTCCCTCTGCCATCCTAATCCCCCCATTAAGGCTTGCTCGTTCTATTTCCTAAAAATTCTCTTACCTCCATCCACTTCCCCCACATCATCAATAGATCTTCTCCATTTCCACTGCCACTGGCCTAGTTCTGGGCCATTATTTCTGGTCTGGACCACAGTACAATCTGCTAATTGATCTGCCTGCCTTCAGGGTTAATCCTTCTAATCCAGTCCTCACATCTAGGATGGTAATTCTGAAACACAGATCTGGTACTGTCATTCCCCTCCTTAAACATGTTAATGTCCATCATTCTCAGAATATTAACATCTTAAGCTCCTTAGTTTAGCATTTGGGTTCTTTAGGATTCCCTTTAGTCAGTCACTGACCACCAGCTTCATCTCTTGACACTCCCTTCTGATTCTTCGTCACCCCCACCCATCTGATAAATTTTTTTTGGACACTCCACATTTCACCTCCATAAATGTGCCTATGCTGAGAACACCTTCCTCACCCCAACCGTCACTGGGCGGGCTAGCTCCCTCTCCCATCCCCTAAGACCTCTGCTTAACTCTGGAGTCTTTTCCTAATCCTCAAACAGAACTAGATTACTTTTCCATGCATCCTTTTCTCATAGCACTGCACACCTGACAGGGCTGTCTTTGAGTTCCTTGAGGGCAGGGAGCTACAGAGTCTTGCACATCCCTCAGAAGCATTATGGTACAAGATCACTGAACATACAGAAGGTGTCAGTGCATGTTTGCTGAATGAATGAGTACATGAATGAATGGACTTCTCACTTCTTGGGTCCCCTTCCTCCTGAGGGTCTCCCTAGTCCAGGCCCTGCTTCCTGTCCACTACCACTCAGTTCCCAGGTAAGTACCACTAATGGAGAATATCAGCCTCAGGTTGTTTGCCCTTTGTGAGCTCTTTCTGGGTGTCCTAAGTGATCTGAGCAACTCTTTTATGTGCAGATTCTTTGTCAGGCAGACATTTGACTGTCCTTGGGCCCAGCCAACAAGCTTATCCTTCCTTGTTAGGTGCTAGCCCCACTAATCTTCTCTCAGGGATTTATGCAGCTGCACTCCTCACATTATGGTCCTGGCAATATAAAAATATTTCCAACACTGAGAATATTAATGCCCCAAAAAAGAGGAGAGGGTCATCTTGTCACAAATTGATGATCCTGCAGAAACATAAAAATAGGTTAGCCTGGCCAGGCAAGGTGCTCACGCCTATAATCCCAGCCCTTTGGGAGGCCAAGGTACAAGAATTGGAGGCAGAGGTTGCAGTGAGCTGAGGTCACGCACTGCACTCCAGCCTGGGTGACAGAGCGAGACTGTCTCAAAACAAAAGGAAACAAAACCAAAAGTTAGCCTTCTAGAATTTGAAGGTGAGGTAGACCTACTCTTGGAGGCCTCTATTGTGGGTGCAAGGCTGTGCTCCCTGCCACCCCACTCTCACCCTACAGCAGCTTCATGCTGGCCTCCGTAGCTCAATGAGAGGTCCTGGAAGGCAAGCCTGCTAACCCAGGTGGCCCCCAGAGCTTCAAGCAGAAAACTTTCCAAGAGACTATGTTGCCACCAGACTCACCCTGCTGCTCGCTCTCTCTGAATTTTTGGCCTATTAAAAGCCCCAGATCTGTCTCTAGTGCTTCTGCCAAGCTTCCTCACTTTCTAGTAGGGCCATAGACTTAAAAAAAAAAAAAATTATCAAGGCTTCAAGGGCTGGAAGAAGAGCCTGGAGCTGGAAGTCCATGGCTGCCATTCCACTGACTTGCTAGGTGAACTGGAGCAAATTTCTTCCTCTCCCTGGTCTCTCTTTATTGTAGTGGGCCAACTGCAACAAGTTAGACTCCAGAAATACCCAGTAAACAGGATCCGAAGTCAGAATTTGGAGTGAATGCCAATTTGGTTTCACCAAGTCTGCCGGCCCCTATCAGTCATCTGTGCTATCAGTTGTATACACTTTCTCACCACTAGTTCCTCCAGAAAACTAGCTTCCTTGCCTTTTCTTCAGAAAGAGGAGGTATTCCAAGCATAAAGAACAGCATGTGCAAAGATATGGGTGCAACACCTTGTTCAGTCCTCACAATAACAGCAAGGCCATTATCACCCTAGTAGAGGAACCTAAGTATTAGAGACGCTAAGCCCTTGCTGCGTGTTATGCAGCCAGTGGGTGAAGTTTAGATTGGAAACATGTCTTTCTGGCTCCAAAACCCACTTTGTCATTTTCAGAAAACAGTGAGTGGGGGTCCTTTAGATTGGAGTCCAGGGATTGAGGGTTGAGTATGGCAGAGACCAGAAATAGCAGGGATCAATTTTTGTGGAGTCTTTAAGACACATTACGGAGTGTAGACTTTAAACTGAGGGCAAGGAGAGCCATTGAATGGCTTTAAGGAAGAAGAACATGATCAGATTTATGTCAGAAAAATCACTTTGGCTGTAAGAGAATGAATTCGGGGGAGAAAGAGGACAGCTGTTGTAATCCAAGATGATTAGGCAGAGACTAAGAAGAGAAAATCTGCAGAAGTTCATACTTGATTAGATTTGGAGAGTGAGGGAGAGAGCAAAGTGGCAACATGACTCTCAGATTTCTTCTTTGAGCATTTTGGGTGGATTATGGTGCCATTCACTGGGACAGAGAACATAGCAGGTTGAGGGGTAAGAAGCAGCTTGGAGAGAAAATTAGCTCATGACTGGACGTTTAGGGTTTATCTAGAAAGAGATGTTCAGGAATATGTGGTGTGGAGCCCAGGAGCTGTCCAGGCTGGAGACAGTGATCTTCAGGGGGTAGTCGAAACTCACGATTTAGATGAAGTCATCCAGTGTGTAGAGTGGGGAGAGGTCAAGGACAGAGACTGGGACATGGGGACCCTCTCCCAGCACAGGGCCAGGCACAGGTGGGAGATCAGTGCTTGCTCACTGGATGGCTGGTGGCCCGGCGGTTGGGGCTGGGACATTCACTTGGGCCAGGGGAAGCAAATTGAATGATTTGTCCAGCAATGAGGGAGGAGCCAGATGAAGTCAATAGAAAACTAATTTTCTTTTCTGCTGGAAGAAATGAGGTGTGTGGCCGCTGGGTAATTGCAGATAACGAGGGAACTTATTCTTAATATGCACAGCGGCCATGGTCCCTAGGGTACAGGAGACAGGAAGGATTGGAGGTGCCCTGATAGGGCCAGACTTGTTTGGCAAGAAAATCACCCTATCATAGTCCCTCTATTGGCACCACCACAGCCCATGGGCCCCATCCTAACCCCTCCCCCTCTTAGGCCCCTTCCTGTCCCATTCCCCTTCCTGTCAACTGCCTAGCACAGCCCCTCCCTCCTCCACCCTCTACCCCCACAGCACAGGCGCACACACTAAGAGAGACAAATGATGGGGCCTCAGCTGAGCGGGGTGCGTGTCCGGCCCATAAACCACGGGGATGGGTCACGTCTGGAGTTGCCATGGCCGCCACTACCCACCCATCTGTCTTCCCACTGTTCTGCCTCAGACCAGCCCGTACGACTTCCTGAGTCCCTGGGGTAAGGTGTCACCTCTCCATGCCCACATCCACTGCAGGTACATCCACACTGAGCTCTGCGAGACAGGACCCTGTCTGACTTGCCTGCCCAAAGCAGGCTCCGCAGAGCTAGGATCTGGCTAGTGATGCAGGGTGTGGGCCGACCAGAGACTGCGCCTCCTACTGCCCTTGTCTAGTGCTGGAGGGTCCCCTTCCTAGGCTAAGGTCCTGGCAAAGGTGGGCCTTGACAGGCAGAGAACTCCTGACCCCACCTTGAGCTTACTACCCCCCACACTTTATTATGACATTGATGTACAATATTTCTACAATCACAGCATCGATCCTATGAAGGCTGGTGGTGGCTGAGGCCCTGGTTATGGCCCAGGAGCATCTAAGGGAGATGGGAGAAGAGGCAGGTGAGGGGATAATGAGTTGGTGGCTGCGTGGGCAGCTGAACAGAAAAACTCAAGGCACTCAGGCTGCTTCTCTCCTAGGCTTCCTCTAGTTGAATAAGCTCTGGGCAGGTGCACCTCCTGCTGGTGGTGGCAGTGGTGAAACAAATCCTGGCCCATGTCCATGATACTGAGGCCCCAGAGGCCTGATCCTGCAGCCTCCAGGGTTCTAGGACAGTTGAAAGCATCCAATACTGGAGAAACTGTTTGTGATAGTCTAATACAGGCAGACATTCCACAAGGTATGGGCAGAAACAGGGCCCAAAAAGGGACTAGCACCCACTTTGAGCCTACTAGGACAGAGGCAGGGCTTCCGCTGACGTATACAGGAATGTCTGGTAGAGGGCTGATGGCCAAGGCTATGAGGAGGACCACAAATCTGGACCCTCCCCATCCTATCGGAGCTGCACAGGAACAGGTGCCCAGGCAAGTTGCTGTTTGAGCACACAAGCCCAGGACACAGGGCAGGTGTGTTTCCCAGGGCCCTGGCCCAGCAGTGCCGAGCCTTGTGCCTTGTCACTAGTGATTATGGCCTGGGTCACATCTTCCACACACACGAAAGTGTCGGCAAAGTCACCCTGGCCGTGGGTGTGATGAATGGCTGCCCAGTAATGAAATGGAGACATCAAGGCGGGTGGCGGGAAGACGGAGTGTGGCGGACGGGCCGTCCCCACGCGGCGGCAACAAGAAGGATCGCCCAGCGGCCGGGGGCCGTCAAGGGAGAAATTACACATTTACTCTGCCTTTTTCTTACTGCGACGGCGCCCATACATCACCGCTGGGGCTGGGGCGGGACATGCCGGCCAATTTCCAGCATGAATTATGGAACTGAGAAGCATCGAGACCAGGCTTCCTGCTGGCCCAGCATCACCCAGCCCAACCTGAAGCCAGGGATGCTGCCACCAGGGGATGGGACCACCCTCTCTAAAGCCTGTGGCTCCTGAATCTGACCCTGCTTCCCACCCCCGCCCTTGTAAGAGCACCTGTGGGCATGGAGGGGAAGGATCTGGGGCCAATCTAAATGTCTTCTCTCCTTTTTAGACGACTGCAAGAACATTGCCAACATCATGAAGACACTCGCCTATCGAGGCTTCATCTTCAAGCAGACATCGAAGCCGTTCTGATTGGCCGAGGACAGGATGGGGCAGGACAGGGTAGCTGTTTGGCCCAGCCCAGAATCCTCCTCTCCCTCACCAGAGGGGAAGAGGGAGAGTGGCATAGCTCTGCATCCAGAGTGTCCCCCAGCTGCCCTGTGGGCTTGTGCCCTTGGCGTGGGCTTGTGCCCTTGCAAGGGCTTGGCCACTTGGCCCTTCTGGAGCAGACACTTTGTGCCCCCCATCCCCACCCCTCAATCTCAGCCCAGTATTAGCCCCTCCCATTGCGGGCCTGGGCTAGGGGAACCCAGGCACTCACCGCCTCCTCCCTGGTACACAGGCTTCTGTGGGGCCACCAAGCCCCCCCTGTGCCCCCTCCCATCCATAGTGCATGGTGTGTGGTGCCCCCAGGGCTCCAGGACAGATCAGGCCCCACCTTGTGTCTACCCCCATCCCCGCTGTGAACGTGCCACTGAATAAAGTCGGGGAAACGAGGCAGTGGGTGTGTGTGCAAAGCCGTCTGTGTATGTGAGGCTGCTGCTGCGCCAAAGCTGTCAGGATGTGAAGGTAGGTAGAGCATGCTCCAGACTGCCTCTGTGCACAAGGCCATCCGTGTGTGACTGGCCGTCACTGCAGCACCTGTGACACCCTCACTCAATATGCACACAACTGTGGCAGTGCGGGGACTATCAGTACAGGCTGTGTGCAAAGCCATCTTGAGTGTAAACCACAGGTGCTCTGAGGTGCAGGAGTTTGGGTGAAACTCATAGTGGTTAGTGGTCAGAGAGCTGCGAAGGGCCTGAACACAGGCAAACCTACCTGCCACCCTGTGGAGTGGCTGTGACAATCCCCTCCTGGCCCACCCTTCCCACTAGGGGCATCAGAAGTGAAGGAAAGGGAAAGGAAGCAGCCTGGTCCAATTCAGCAGCTCTATTTACATAACAGCGTCGCCCACACCCCGTGGGGTCTCTCATGGCTTCTTGGCTTTCTTCACAGAAGATGAGCTGGAGGCCGACTCCCGTCGCTTTCTCTGAGGACACACAGAAGGCATTGAGGTCAGTGACCCCCAAGGCCTGAGTCAGGCTTAGTGCATGTGTTTCACGTGCTCAGGGACAAGGACACCCACTGGTCAACCCACTCCTACCCCTCAGTCTCAGACCCACACAGAAGTGATGATCATTCCTGCTGCAGGTACTAGAGGGAGAGGAGCCCCTACACCCATGTGCATGCGCTCACTCGCAGGGCCAAGGCATGCCTCCCAGCCTGTCCAGACTCTTACCGAATTGGGTGTGAGGGGTGCGCCCACCACATCAATGATGGTGTCCTTGGGGTCAGGGCCAAGTCCTGGTTCAGTCACTGCTGGCTCAGCAGAGGCCGGGCCTGGGCCTGATGCTGGTGTGGCAGGGCCCCCCAGCACACCTGCCCGGGCCAGTGCCTCGTGACGGTGCCGCAGCATCTGCAGCTCATACTCGCAGTTGGCACAGGCCTGCTTGAGCTCGTACAGCAGCACCAGGTCGCTTCGCAGCTCATTGAACATGTGCACCAGCTCCTCCGTAGGTGTCGGGCTCAGCTCTGCAGGCAGGTGGCGGGCAGCACAGGGGCAGAGCCCAGGTGTGGTAGAGGGCCAGCCATGTGAACTCCCCTCCCCGTGCCCAGCCTTTATCCACAGCCTCGCGTGGGTACACCCTGTGGGGCCCAGTCCCCACACTCACCCACACCAAGCTCCAGCAGCATCTGTTCCAGGGCCTTGATCTTCTTCTGTCCCACAGAGCTGGGCAGCTTCATCTGCAATGAAAGCTGGCAAGCTGAGCCTCTCCCAGGCACAAGAGACTTGGGATGAAGGGGACAAAAGGCAGTGGGAAAGAGGTGTGGAAGAGACGGTAACACATGGAGGTTAACTATGGGCCAGAAAAGGAAATAGCCAGGAAGCTGAATATAGTGAAAGCTGTGACCTTAGCCTGGCCACATCACTGAGATCCTGGCAAGGCCACCTCTGTCTGCAGCAATCTCTCCTACCGCTCCATCCCCACCTGCTTTCAGCGTTTGGGCCACATGGAGCCCAGAGCAGAACCCAGGGCCCAAACATGCTAAAGGAGGTGACTCACGTACCCGTTGGCTCCGCAGCGTGACACCTGCAGACTTGAAGTCTGGAAACTTGATGCCTGCAGTCTCAGGAACAGCCTAGGGGAGAAGGCATTATGGAGATCAAGGTGTCACAGGGAGAGAGTCCAGGGTTAGTCCCAGCACCCCATCAGCACTGGGTGCTCTCAGAACCCTCCACTTGGGGTGGGGCCTTGTGCCAGGTGACCCTTCCACCCTGAACTGGGCTGGCTGAGCCTCCGCACCGGCTTCTCAGCCTCCTTTTTCTGGGGTAGCTTCTTCTTGGGGGCCTTGCGTTCTGTGCGCCGCTGCTCTGCAGTGGTGTCTGCCGCTGTGATCAGCTTCTGCAGGTCCTGGCTGCGTTTCTCCCGCTCCTTCTTCCGGGCCTCGATCTTGCGCAGCTCCTGTAGCAGGTACTCCTCCTCTGCCACCTGGGAAAGTGAGGGATGCAAAGTGTGTGAGGGCACTTCTAGGAGTGAGGGTAGACACGGAGGTGATGGGGTGCTGGGGTGTCTGTGAGGGAATCTGAGAAGTAAGGGATCATGAGGGAGGTGAAGGGCTATGAAAAGCAGGGGGGATGGCCCATGAGAGGTAGGAATGGGCCTGGGGCAGTTAATAGGGTATCAGTGAGAGGCAGGGGGACCTGGAGTGGGAGTTGAGGGGTACAGAGGATGGAGGCAATGGGCAAGGGGTTTGGGGCATGGAGGACAGGTATGTGGCCTTGGGCTAACCTGCTCTGGGGTCCGGTTGTAGAGACGCTCAAGCTGTTCCTTCCGCCGTCGTTCGTGCCCAGCATCAAATACTGGTATCTTAAGGTCTGTGCCTGGCACAGCTCGCACGTTAGCAAGCTTAGCACAGATGTGGTAGTACCGCTCCTTCAGGTCTTCCACAGAACGCTTCTGAGAAGCAAGACAGGGTAGAGGAATGAACATTCAGGGGCATGTGGAAGAGATGGCATAAAAGGGCCTGCTAGAGAAGCTGGGCACACATGCAAATGCACAGTGGCTCACCTTGAACTGCTGGTGGTCATACCGGTCATGGATAACAACAAAACGCAGGTCAAAGCGGCGGCTGAGGTCAAAGAGGTGGTCAGTTTCTGCCTTAGTCCAAGCATCATCGTGGAGATAAAGCTGGTACTCCTGCTCTGAGTACACAGGCACCTGCACAGTCTGCTGGCACAGAGGGACACAGTAGGGGCATGCCCACATCATGTCATGTCTAGCAGGTTCCAGCCCCCAGTGACCACAGCTCCTCCTGTTTGTTGCCAGCCCCTGGGCCTGTGCCCCTGCAGCATGGAGTGAGGAAAGAACCTGTCTGCTTGACTAGAGGTCCTAGCAGGGTTTGGGACTGTAGCCTCCCCCTGATTCATTCCAGGAGCAACTGCACTGTCTCCAGCTCCAGAGCTTCAGTCATGGGACACACACTCCTGCCCCCATGGTTAAGGTGAGGGGCCCACATGTAAGTGCTTCTGTGGAGTCCAAAGGTCAACTCTGGAGTAGGACAGATGGCTAATTACCTGGAGAAAGGCCCAGCAGCCCCTAGTCCATATAACTCTTGTCTGAAGCACTACTGCCACCCAGTGGGGACAATGGGACTTGCTGCTCCCCCAGAGTTTGCCAAGGTCAGGCATCTCTATAGAAGCTGGGCCTGAATCCTACTCCCAACATAGGCAGCCCTGCCAATGCCCCTTCCTCCCTTCTCCCATACCCCCAATCCTACAGACCTCCCCTAGAGACAAACAGCACTACCACCAGCTGGGTCTGTCAGAGACCCAAGGAAGGAGTCAATGCTAGACTAGATCAGGAAAGTCTCTCTTCTCAGTTAAAGACCACAACCAGCTCCAAAACTGGTCGCCTTTTGGACATCTCCTACTGGAGGTCCCCCATGTACCTCAAACTTACCTCAGTACTGAACTCTTGGCCCTCCCTCAAACATTATCTTCTCCAGTCCAGATTTCAGTCAATATCACCATCACCCAACCCAGCTGCTCAAGCCAGAAACCTGGGAGGCATCTTAATTCCTATCTTTCCCCTTGAGTCCCAACTCCCCTTGACCAAATCTGTGGCTTTTACCTCCAAAATTTCTGTCTCTGTTGCCACTTCCCAGTCCAGCCTACCCGCTGTCACTTGGCTGGATCAGAGAAATAGCCTCCCTGCTGATCTCTGCCCTCATTCAATCCTCCTCCAATCAATTCTCCATCTGCAGCTAAGGTGATCTCTTTGAACAGTGCTACTTAAAGGATAGTCTGCAAACCAAGTGCTGTTTACACTTACCCCGATCTATGATGAGAATGGAAACTGAAAGTAGACACTAAAAAACTTACATAACAATTTTACAGTAATTGTATGCTGTTGAATCTAATATGAGGAAACATGGCCTTGTATTTTGCCTTTATAATTTTCTTATCTTTATCAGTCTCTGATGGATTGGAAGTAAAAATAGAAAAATGTCCTTCACCACAGATGATTTGAGGCACACTGTCCTAGTGTTTCAGAATATATATCTTATCATTACCAACTATCCCTTATTAAAATCCTCAAAGGCTCTCCATCTAAGATAAAGCATCTTCTAGATAATTCACAAACTCCTCAAGCGCAAGGGTGTCCAGTTCATCTCCCACCTTTAGGACTCAGCACACTGTATGTATCAGTGTCTACCAAATCAATTAATGAACACGCAAATAAATGACCTGGCCTCCTCCCGCAGCCACTGTCCCTCATGAACCCTAAATTGCAGCCAAATGACTAGCAGTTTCTAGAACATAGCAGACTTCCCCCTTGATCTCTGCTCTTGCCTGAAATGCCTTCCACTTCTACATTCCTTCTACCTAGATAACTTTCTCAACCTTTCGAGCTCTCAGGCATCATCTCCTCTGGGAAGTCTCTCTGGTTTGCCAGGTTTGGTTACGTATTTCTCCTATGCATTTTAATTCAATTTAACTAAAAAACAAACCAACAACTCAGGACCAGCTACGGTGGCTCACGCCTGTAATCCCCACACTTTGGGAGGCTGAGGTGGGCAGATCGCTTGAGCCCAAGAGTTTGAGACCAGCCTGGGAAACACGGTGAAACCCGGTCTCTAAAAAAACCACAAAAATTAGCCAGGCATTTTGGTACATGCCAGTGGTCCCAGCTACTCGGGAGGCTGAGGTGGGAGGATCGCTTGAGCCCTGGAGGTGGAGGATGCAATGAGCTGAGATCACACCACTGTACTCCAGCCTGGCCGACAAAAAGAGACCTTGTCTCAAAGAAGAAGGGGAAAAAAAAAACCCTCAGGAACCGTGCAGCCAGTCCTCTCAAGTAGCTCATAGTCAAGTGAGGAAGACATTTTTTCATTCATTCAACAAATATTCACCATGGGCCTGCAATACCTATGCTGGAGACACAGTGCTGCATATG